TTTGTGTTTGAGTTATTGGTTGAGTTTTCATAATGCATGCTGCCAGGTTCATAGCATAGTGCAGTTTTGCCTCTGTGGCAGGTTTGCTGATTAACAATAGGACCAAGTGCATTTAGCTAGCAGGGTAAAACAAGGGTCAAACATCCATCACCCTTGATCTGTGCATGCCCTCTCTGGTAAAGCTGGACGTCCTCTCTCTTGGGAGGCAACAGAAAAACTCATTAGCTTCTCCTCGTGTGTATCAGGGAACATTGGAAAGCCTTGGGTGAAATTTAGTTGTCTATAACCTGCCAATAAATGTCCAATCCACTGAGGAACTTAGTGGTCCTACTCAAGAAACCACTGAGTGAGCACAAATACATCGACTGCAACAACACACAAGAAATGACCTGTGTTAGGATCATTGTATGGAGAAGAAATCGAGACTGTGTACAGCACTTGAAAACCATTTCTCCTGGAATAAAAACAAAAACAACGTTTTGCGAAGCCTTCTGGTTTTGATTTTATCTCTCCTTTTATTCCTCGTTCCTTTCAAAATACCTTTCTAGTCTTTGTTGAAATATGTCCTCAGATACTTTTAAATTATAGTTGGTACAAAGCAGCAGTTTAAGGGATTATATTCATCCACTGCCATTTTACCAAGAAGCCAGAAGGAAAAGAAATTTGTGAGCCGCAGTTTTGGAGTCTAAGTAACAATTTCCTGCTGCATATCTGTCAAAAGAGACTAAAGTGAGCATTAGCAGAAGTAAAATGGACTAAAACGCTTGTTATGAATACAATCTGAAATAGGATGTGGGATCAATAATGTGGGACTGTATGTGGCACTAATGTTTTCATGTTTCAGCTTACACTGGCAGGCCACAATGGCCTCATGATACCATCTACATCCTGTTAGAGAAGTCACTTTGTGGCAGAAATCCTGGACTGGTGAGAAAATCTAGAGCAAGTAATGAATATTACACTAACACTCCTCCAATGAGTGTCTCCACAGGTGCCTCTGAAGCAGGCAATTGACCCCCAAACACTTAAGGAGGGCTGCTCAGCGGCCAGCACAAGAGTGGGCTCGCTATCATTATGTTCAGCCGAATTAATGTGAAACAGGTCACAGAACAGGATTATACTGTCAGCTTAACCCTTGGTAAATCAGTGCTTCAGGAGATGTAAACCAAATGAGAAACCCTAACCCTCAACCTCCATTGTGAGCCTGAACGGTACATCTGCTGATTGACATTGGTACAAATTGCCCGGCTGTAATACAATGTCAACTAAATGGTGATTTGAGATACCCTGCTGCACAACGGCAACAGGCCAGAGCCCTGAAATAAGACTCCACAGGAAAAGTAGCCAGTTGACAACAGACAGGCCTTCCCAATACAGATACCATCTAGAAAGGTGGCATCTGATAGGCTTGTCTGTTTCCACAACATCAACTCTCCTCAACATTAACATTTGGTCTAACATTTCATTCCAAGGGTGACGCTGATGAAATCAGTGGTTTGTTTGTATTTCACCTGTACCCAAATAAGTTTATTCTCCATACAATCAGTTCTTGTGATTTTAATGGACAACCCTCACATCATACAACTCACAATTATTTTCTTTATTGATTAATCTGTTGATTACATTCTGAATTAACTGTTTAATTATGGCTTCAATAAAATGTCATTAATGCCGATCACAATTTTCCCAGGCCCAATTCCACACATTCAAATTATTTTGGCCAACCAACCATCCAAAACCCAAGATATTACATTTACTCTTAAAGAAGAAACACCAGAAAATATTCACATCTAAGAAGTTGAAACCAGTGAAATCTGGGCATTTTTACTTGACTTGAATGTTTAATCAATAATCAAAAGGTTGGAGTTATCATGACATCCCAGATGGAAAACCTGTTATGTACTTTGCATGTTTTTGTATAAATTTTAAATAAATAAAAAAAAAGCACACAAGCATAAACACAGTCAATGATCTTACACACATCACACCTTTTAATTCCAAAGTTCACAACACTATAAACTACACGTGATGTAATACTGTGCAGCCCACCCTATACTTAGAAAAGGGACATTTGAAGGGTTGAAAATTAAATGTCACTCTTGTTACAGAAATGCCACTCTCCAGTTTATCACTTTGTCATTTTCAAGTAGTCACTGAGAGGCTCGCTGTCTCTGCTAGAGGACTTGACCCTCATTTTATAGGAGCTTAAGTTTAATAATTGATGGCTAAACAGATATTATAAAGTGGGGACCTTTCTCTCTCTCTGAATAGCTGCAGAGTAACTAACCACCTTCATCTTGATAAGGCACACACATTATTTATTTAACACATCCAGGCACAGATTCATGCTGGAAGAAGGACTGGTCAGTTAAAATCTGCTGCCGACGTCCTTCTAATCATTTAATTTATCATCTCCTTTATCAGAAGCAGTGACAGTAACAATGAGGCATGTGGATGACAATGACAACTTGCTGCTAAAGCAGAGGAGGGGGTTGGCAGACAAGCTGACGATAATGTCAGGTTATGCAAAAACACGTTGGGCTGTCAACACTCCCGACACCTTGGACTGACTCATTACTGAGCCTGGTTTCACCCAAGTAGGAGCCAATACTAGAAGCCCAAGAGTGAACTGCATCTGCACCTCTGTGAGAGAAGATCACATGGCTGAGTGGGTGTTGGGTTGTTGGCAGTCACACCCGCTAGGGAAAAAAATCATTTACATGTAGACACAGGAGAGTATGTGTGTTCCTATATGTGGACATATTCCAGACACACAGGACACTCTGAACCATTTATTGTAACTCTATGATGAGAAATGACTCAGCGAAGGCCTCTGTATGTTTCACTCTCTCAGACACCCTCAAGGGAAGAACTTCTGAATCATTGAGATCAGACACCTTGCGTGGCTAAATGTTTATCTTTAAGTCTCCAACGGAGAGAGAACGTCTGCTGTTCTACTGAACAACTTTCCAATTGAGTCCTCCACTGTATGTAAACAATACCAGTCATCTGATCATAAATACTACATCTTTTAGAAAGACTGCACCAGTAATTCAACTTAAACAACCAATGCCTGTGATCAAATATAGTATGTGGGCACACTGATTTGAATTCCGTCTGTCTAGAATGTAAATGAGAGGCTGTGCACATAACTAGAAAAGCTTGCAATGCACTTTGAAATGAAAATGTTTTATATATGTTGTTTTTTCTTATTATATATTTTATACTTGTGTGATTTCTGCATCACCTTAACAAAGGCTCATTTGGGTTTAGTTCTCTCTTGAAAGGTAATTATTTATTTCAGTGATTAAATAAAGGGATCCAGATATCAGTGAGGCAACACTGAAGACAATATAAGACTATATCTAAGTGAAACATCAATTTAACATCATCTGTGCTGTTACCTGGGCTCTTGCCGTCAGAGTCAGACTTTGGCAAGCCCAAATGTTTCCACATTAGATGAGGAATTCTGAGAGTTGATGCATGCTGAAGCTCAAAATGGCGGGTTGATGGGAAATCCACCTTCAGTGATGTTGGGGATTTGGAAGCTGACATGGGCAACTAGATACGTCCATATTTGTGTGGTTTGTACATCCTCTCTACTCCTCTCTATCCTCCTCGATTTGACTTTTTCAAAAAAATAGTCTCACCTGTCATTCACTGTTGTTTAGGCTTTAGGTTTAAGCGTTAAATAGCACATTCAATTCCAATTATCGCTGTGATAAATCAGCATTTTAAATCCAATTCAGCATCATGCCAGCAAGCTCAAAAGAACAGGTTGACATATCAAAAGCATCAACTATGCTGCCATAAATTTATCTCTAAAATGATGAAACACAATATTATTCTGGGCTCCTTTCCCTCAGGCCACATGATTTAGCACATTTTGACCACAATAACACTACCCTGACTGTGGGTAAATAAAACACATCATGAGCGGAATGGAAATAGTGTTGGTGCATGAAAATCAAGGTTATAAACATATATGATATGCCCTAAAGACTGGGGTGGTCTGTTCATAATTTTGTCCACTTTGATGTTTACCTGTGTTTCTCTTCATAAGACAACAGAAATAACCAGAGACTCGCACAAATAGACAAATCAGTTTTTTACACAGGCCTTAAAATGTCCCAGCTGACCAAATGAAATGGCGCTGGTGTCTCTAAGAGCATCAAACAAATGAGAAAAATTGATTAACCCTAAATCTGACATTTCTAGGGAGGGTAACTGATAAGATTTTATTGATACCAATTTCATTATCGATTCTGCTAGTGCTTATTGGTCTGGTTCTTTATTGATTCCCTTAGTGATTCCTGATCAATTTTCTGTGTGGAAAAAACACTGGACTACACAGCGCTAATGTTATTATAACATAGGGTAATCACCCTTGGGAATGGATTGGGAATTGGTTGGTGGGTAGCGTGTCAAAAACATGGCATTCTGTATTGAAGG